TGGTTAAACCATTCCCCCCGTATCTCATTTCTGCAGCCCTACAAGAGCCAACACTGGTGATGTAGCTTCTTCGTTGTCACTCTGAGATCTCACTTCCACATTGCTTCTCGCCTGCCATATTGCCTGGATGATCTAGAGAAGTCAACTTTGAGAACTCTGATAAAACACCAGTTTGACTCATTAGGACCAGTTCCATGAGTGCATTTCCATGGGTGGGACGGGGAAGAAGAATGGTGGCTTTCAGAAGCAATGGGATGCAAGCAACTTAAGCAGGAGGCTTCCCTAGTGCTCCAGACACATCCTGTCAAAAGACCACAGACTTTCCTGATTATGCTGTGGAAAAGAATAGCTTATTACCTACCACCTGGGCGATGACAGATGCTGGTCCCTGTTTAAAATATATTGCTGCCTCCTAGCTTCATGCTGGAGTTTATTTAAGTATGGCTCATTTTCTATAACTACGAAGTGGAGTGTCAGGATAAAATATATAGTAACCAACTTGCCATACATTTTTCCAGGCCTGCCATGAGCTGTCTGAAACACTGCTTTAGGCCATCACCTTTGGCTTATTTAAACCCATACTCCCAGTGTGGGTGCTTGCTATTTGCCTCATTGTTCCTTATCCCACTGACCCAAAACCAAACACACCCCACAGCTGCTGGTCCAGTTCAAACCTAATAGTCCAAAACAAAGTCTCATAAATATCTCCCCCCTTCCTGAATGTTTTCTCCAAAGAGCAAATCCATCAACCCCTAAAGGACCCTAAGGAGGAAAGAGTCCTGCCATCTCTCTACCTCTCCCACCCCTTCTCTGCTGGATAGTTCATGTCAAATTGACACAAATTAGAGTCATCTGAGAGGAGGGGACCTTAATTGAGAAACTGCCTCCAAAGAATAGGCTGTAAGCAGGCAGAGCCTGTAGAGTGCTTTCTTAATTACTCATCAATATGGCAGGGCCCGGACCATTGTGGGTGTGGATACCTTTTGCTGGTAGTCCTGGGATCTATAAGAAAGCAAGCTGAGTAGGCCATAATGGGCAAGGCAGAAAGTAGCACTCCCCCACCCCATTTCTATCTCATGACCTCTGCATCAGCTTGTGTCTACCGATGCCTGCTAAGTTTGAGTTTCTGCCTTAGCGTCCCTCAGTGGACAAATATTCAGGATATGGAAGCCAGCGAAGCCCTTTCCTAACAAGTTGCTTTTGGTCATAGTGTTTACCCACAGCAGTAACAACTCCAGCTGAGACACCATCTGTCTGCTCCCCAAGCTTCAGGCTGCCCTAGCCTTCTCTGCACCCACAATCCCTCTGCACCTAAGCATAATCTATTGTTTCTTATTTTTCATTTTATTTTCTGCAGTAATTTACCATATACACACAAATTATCTTTGCCCTGTGCCCCTTTCTAGACAGACGGTCTGGGAGGGCGAGACGGCACGATGGGTGACGGTGCTTGCTGCCAAGTCTGATGGCCTGAGTTCAGTCCGTGCTTGGACCCACACGACAGGAAGCCAGAACTGATTCCTGCAAGCTATTCTCTGACCTCTGTGTACAACGTGTGTGCATGTGTATATAAATACATAATTCAAGACAGATGGACCTCAAGAACCTTAGAATGATGCCATCACAAAAGATATCACAATAGAGGATTAATGTGGTAGCAATGTTTCCAGCAATGTCATGAGAATTGGCTGATCAGCTCATGTAAAGAAATGATGTCTGGCTGATTAAAATAATCAATCCCTATGTTAATCCTAAAGTGGACATCGTAACTTTGATAGTATTCTGAAATCCTGGTCCTGGCTGGAAAAAAGATGACCTAGCGTAGTGGTTCTGGACCTTCCCAGTGGCCTTTGAGTACAATCACTCCTGCTCTGGTGACTCCCAACCAAAACATTATTTTGCTGCTCCTTCGTAACAACAATTTATGATTCCTAAATACAATCTATGATTCCTAACATAAATAAAATAACATAAATATCTGATATGAAGGAGATCTTACATGCAACCCCTGTGAAAGAGTACTTTGACCCCCAAAAGTGCTGGGGCCCACAGGTTGAGAAGCGCTGTTCTCAGAAGAGCCCATTCTTCCCCATTAGCTCTCAGACTGTCACATTTCTGTATTTATTTATCTCACCTCCAAAGTGAGTGCGCTTAAAAGACATACAGGAACTGAACTCAAGGTTGACTTCCAGAGGAAAGGTACAAAGGGCGCCCGGTGTAGATCCAACCAATGGACCAAGGGACAGAGAGCTCTGCCAGGCCCAGAACAGGTGGGGTTCATTCTCACGTCCAACAAAATTCTTGTTTTGTTGTTCTGATTCATTTTCTTACGAAGGTGTGGGGTCTTTAAAGTCCTGTTTTCCTTAGTGTAGGACTGAGGGGACAGAGAACCTGGTGTCCAGGGCCCTCCTCCGAGCAAAGGACTGAATAGCCTGCTCCACAATTAAACTGACATGATCCCAGCCTCTCTCTCATGGCTTTCTATAGAGTATGAGATGGCCCCAGGCACAAGGACAAGAAAATTACACTTTTTTTTTTAACCTTAACCCCAGGCCACCTTGGGCCAAACTATGAACAAATACATTTTTCTTTGCCAATTTTAGTTTTCTAGTTTAATTGGAATGCAGGAAAATTGACAGTAGGGTTTGAACCTATTGTTTGGTGACAATAGAGGTTAGGAACATAGTTTGTCTTGAGTATGGTGTTTTCCACTTTATCTTGCATTGGTGTCTTCTCTCTTTGGTTTCAGATATCTAGTTGTGGGCTTTATAAACTTGAGATCAAAGTATCCCCAAACAAAGTAGTTTGTTTTCATATAAATATAACTTTTGTGAACTACTATTGTTGTGTTGAGAAAGTTATAAATGCTAGTTAGCGATAGTCCAGGAAATTATATATATACCAAGCCAGGAAAGATTATTTTCTAATCAAAGATGGCATGGTTATGAATTAAGCATAAATTCAAATAAAGACAGATAATGTATACCATTCATATTAACAGTCACACATTCCATTAGATGTAGTCTTTACTTCGCATTTTAAACTTAGGACTTACAAAGGTCTAATGCCTCCACATTGTATAAATATGCTCGATTGTTGGAGATTTTGACATTTAGTTGGAAATGTACTTACTATTATAATTATGAAACGGAAATAATTTCATGAGCATAGTGTGCTTTGAAATATTAATGTGAAACCAAGAAAATTTTATTATTATTTTTCTACTTGTGTAAATTCTGAGATGGGTATTTTTGGATTCATATAAATCAGCAATGTTTCAAATGGTAATTTATTTGCACAGTTGTTAACAAATTTTAGACCCTTAAGCCTTCCTTACGTTTTAAAATTTGCAGTAAGATATCTGTGCCCTGTACTTTTACAAATATCTTCAGACTGATAAGACATGAAAATGACTATGACATCGTTATTTCTAAACATCTTGAAGAGTCTAAAGTCAGCTCATAAACTGATAGTGAGAAGGCCTGAGAATTTTTACATCACACAGACCATAAAGTTGTAATTTTTCATAAAGGACAATTCCTTCCAAGAATTGTCAGAAAGACAAGCCCTGCCAAACTCACTGGGTCCTAAAGGAGATCGGGAGAACATGTAGAGCGAGAGGATGGAAACGGAAAAGAAGTTGCCGGGTTATGTGGAGACACGTTTAGCAAACTGGTCTCATTTTGGCAACTGCTTATTAAATAGCAATTAGCGCCCTGTACTGTTAAGTATTGAGATACTGAAACTTATAAATGTAAAGGAAAGGTAGAGAAAAGATAAGTGTGTGTGTGTGTGTGTGTGTGTGTGTGTGTGTAGTCACAACCAGTCAGAGGGGAGTCCAAGGAATACACATAGCATTTCAGCAGAGGAAATCCTTTCTAGGCCTAAGTGAATTTTTATCACATTAGTCACTTAATTATGACATTAGGGTCCACACTGAGGAGCGTGGTCTATCTAGAGCACCAATGGAGAGCTGGCATCATCTGCTTATTTTTACTTTTAAGCACTACCTGCTCCAGCCACTGAGTCCTCTTGGAGCTGTGGCATGCTCTTTCTTGTTTGGCTGTGACAGACTGCATGAGAAGAGAGTATACCAATACCCTTAATTCTCTCCTTCTCACGTACCGTTTCACTACTAATTGCCGGAAAAAGTGGAGATGGAAACCAAAACCAAAAAAGAAAAAAAGAGAAAAGAAAGAGAGAGTAAGCTATCCAAAAGGCAGCCACTGACAATGCTCATGCAAGCTTACAGCTTTGTATAAGCCATTCTTAACATGGCTAAGGGAAGCACTCTGGCACCATGACCATAAAAATAACAGGGCATTAAACAAGCCACCCTAACAGGCTGTAAGAGGAAGGATGGGAAAAAATATTCAAATTACCCTAGCCCAACTAATGGCATATTCAATCCTAAATCCATTACTCAAGGTTCTTAGTAACCCGTAGGCCTCTCCCACACTCTAAAAAGAAGTGTGAAGAAAGGTGAATGACGGCCATTCTCAGATTGCCCAAGAAATGGCCATGCAATCATTGTAGTTCAAGGAGAGAAAATTGGGTAGAATGAGGATGAAATGCAGGAAAGTCTGAATTCTGACTACAAATATAAATGGGTTTCCTCCAGTTTTCAACAAAGGAGTTTATTGCTGTATGCATGCATTCGGAAGTCTTACAAGTTGAGGGGGGACTAGATTATACAGTTTGGGACTAGGAAATGCCCTCTGGGAATCATCTGGTCCAAGCCTCAATTGATGCCAGGAACTGACACTGAAAGCTGGGCTGCCTTGCCTGGGACAGCACAGTGACCTCATGGGGTAGGGAGGGTTAGGGCCCAGAATCCTTAGCACTTCCTGCCGTTCTTGGACACTGGGACACCAGTTTGCAGGCTGGCCACAATCATGGAAATCTCAGGACAGTTCTGACAATGGCAAAGGGAACACCAGGAAAAAGAAGCCCCACTCCTCCACCCTTCATTCTAATGGGAACAAAATAGCTTTACTCACCAACAGGGAAGAACTCACTCATTTTCTTTTTGTAGATTTTGAAGTCAACTTCTAGGAAGACACAGAAGATGACTCGATCCACCTAGAAGCAAACAAGAAGCACTTGAAGTGGAAGGGGATATGGCAAATGCTTACTCCAAACAGCTTTAGAACAAATGAAGACAAATGTGAAAGATTTGTACAGATTTTTGTTGATGAAGTACTAGCTATATTACAGGTGATCAGGCACGATTCAAGTGTGTGTGTGTGTGTGTGCACTCTAGTGTATGAGTGTGTACCTTAGTGTGCATGCTGGGTTTGTTTGTTTTTGTTTTTGCATGCTCTGTTTATAATGAAGCATGGGTGTTTTGGTGCTTCAGTGGAAAGATGCTACATAAATAAGAAAGAATAAATGATAATACACCATGAATGTGGAGATTTTGACAGGATATCTAGACTTTGTATTCTTTTAAAAAGCCACAGGAGAGCAGATAGACAAGTGACAATACAGCCCGTCAAGGAACAAATAGCACTTTGTTCTGATCTTGTTAGACAAATACAGTCATCAAACCCATAATCTTCAAATGTGGCCTAAAAAGCTTCCATGAGTCTAATTTACATGAAGTCACTTGCTTTTAGCCTAACATACTCAAAAGGAAAAAAAAAGCATCATAAATAAAATGTTGACAGTACCACAAGGTCAATGAACACGTAATTTGTTGGTATCGTTGGGTAAACGTCACCGCAGAAGTAAAGTGCATGCACAGTCTCCTTTTATTCCATTTTGAGAGAGCGTCAGCACGTGCAGGGCTTCTTTACACTATTCAAGGATAATGTGCCAAGAAAGGGAGACATGAGCTACACACAGTAGCTTACCGACATCTCATAGTGACTCAGGAACTCAGTTTTGTGTCTAGAACATAAACACCCCTCTACTACCTTTAACAATGAGGAATAAAGTTTAAAACCATTCTACCAAGGTAGAACTGACAGCCGAATAAAACGGCCTGGCATTTCCTGCAGGACTGGGGGGTAGATGGGTGAACACACAGCGGGGCGAGATGGAACCCACGTGAGTGTCAGCCAGCTAACCCTTACACTCTTCCACCATGTGGAATGCAGATCCTGCCACTCTGGGTGACAGCTTTCAGTGGCAAAGGGGCTCTGGGGTGCGACATGGCAGCTGTGTCTCCTGTGACTGTGAGATCACCTGAGGTAAACGAGTCTGGAGGGAGATAGGTATCCCTACTATGCTCACGAGTCTCTTCTTCATTGAGGCTGCACTGCCTCCTGGCCAGTCATGGGAATTCCATCCCACAGGGAACCAGCTACCCTTCAAGTGCCTCAGCAATTCCATTACAAAACAAACACACACATCTTGCCTTAAAAAACAGAAAGATAGGGTTCAAATGAGCAGATTTCTTTTTTCCTATTTTTGATTTTGGATCAGATATCTGGTCCCATCCCTGTATCATTAATGCTGTCTACATACACACAAAGTACAGATTCCATATCAAATCATTTTCCAGGTGAACTATAATTTTAGTTGAAAGAGCAAGAGCAAGACAGCAAGAGATAGAGGCCTGTGCATGCCCGCACTCTTTTATGACATGTTTGATATCCAGTGGCTAAAGCCCAAAACCGTCATATTGAATGACAGAAATGTGTTGCTGAAGGGAAGATTCTATAAAGCCATTTCTACATCATTTTAAAAACATAAAGATATAACAACGTACAGATCCATCCACTAGGACCATGAAAATAATCAATTTTAAGGACATTGGGTTAAGTGGCTCTGAGTTCCTTTATAAGCAGCACAAAGATAAGCAGAAAAAAAGAAACTTGAGCTCAACTAAGGAGAAGCTGCCAGCTGCCCGCTAAAGCGGTTTCAGTGGAGTGAGTGGGGAAGCACCTGGTCCACTGTGGATCAAATACCTTTTGCCTCGCGTCCTTGTGCACCCTACCAAAGCCTCCTCGTGCAATCTGAATGATGGCCAACAGTGCAGGCAGCCTGTCCGACCTCTAAAATGTTGGCACTGAGACTGCCTCAACTTCCAGTGTGTTGTTTCCTCTTTCATCTGTACTAACGTATGCAAACATAAGAATAACATTCGTAGGTTTAGGATGGTGGTTATTTCTGCAAAGGGAAGAGATTTGGATCATTGATACTTTCTTAGAGAATAAAGAGATTTAAAACAATATAGCACCGAGCTGGTAGCTATTAACTATGGGGGTAAGTATGTACATAAATAATTTTATCTATTTTTTTCATGATTAAAACACTTCATAATTAAAGGTCTTAAGGCTTAAGGTTGATATGATTCTGTTGTATTCCCTTCGTCATACTCAGTTTTCTAGCTATGACGAATCTCTTGGAGTTTGCTGAGCCTGTACTCATTCTTCTGTGCCTATGAGTGTTGCTGGTTTTGCCTTTACACTCTTCATGGTCATACTGCTTCTAAATCACCTCGTTGTGGTAAGAGCTCAAAACTGAGACCTTCGCTTTACTGCAAACTTGACGTGATGGCGTCAAACAATTGCTCAGGATTCTGTTTCCTGTCAGGCTTCTCTATACTTAAGAACCGAAAATCAGCTGGTTTTAAAATCATTCATGTCCTTTCTGTGTGTGTATGAACGTGTGAATGTGAACGAATGTGTGTGCTCCCATATTGGGGGCTATTTAGTAGCGATGCGATTAGCTTCAAACACCAGGCAGTCAATACCCAGATCATCCGAGCAAGGGGGCGTAAACTATTTCTGGCACATTCAGCTTGGTGACCACGGGAACAATATGAGTCCAAAATTCATCAGCTCCATTAATTTTCCCCATTAAAAAGGGGGATGTTGAAGATGGGGCCCTTTAATTTTAGAATAATTGAATGCTCTGGCTATCAGTCCTGACTCAGGCCTAACACAGAAATCAGCCTGCAAGCAAATGGAATCTAAGCATTACTTTCCTTCACTACACACTGACTACACATTTGCATACCCCCGTGCACATCTATATTCTCTGGGGAGCTCGTGGAGGAGGGCCCACTTAACTGATAAACCCTCCTTAGTGTCATTTCACTACTGATACTTGTTCAGCCCATGGTTCTCTGTATAGCGTGAGATGAAGGCATTCTTTTCACTGAGGACTGGGATCTAACTCCCACCTCTTAAGTCTGGGAGGCCTGTGGCCGTGAAGAAAAGATGTTAAGTGGTTTTTGAGTGACAGGAGGCAATGTGGATTCTGTCTGGTAGTCTTGGGAGGAGACTTCGTATACACAACCTTCCTGTCTGACAGAAGCAGCGAGGGCATGTGGAGAACGCCATGCAGCTCTTCTGGCCATACTCCAGCTGGAAGGGGGTGGCCTCTCCATGATTTCAGCTCCAGGCGTTGGGTCGCCCCTGCTGATGCCCATGGAACACAGAAGAGCCACTCCTGCTAGACATTCACTGCAAATTCCTACGCAGAGACACAGAAACATGAAACTGCAGACTTTCCAGCTCTTCGGTACTTTACGTTTGTCGAGGAGAGGAAGACACAGGGAGTTACTGGGTGGCAGGAAGACTAGAAAGCTGATGTGTGGGGGAGGAGGGCCCTGCATAGTATGTCCTAACCCTGGGTGAATTTTATGAGAACCTTCACAGCCTAACACAGCATCACTTTCTTATCTTTTTTTTTAATTAATTACAGTTTATTCACTTTGTATCCCCCCATAAGCCTCTCCCTCCTCCCCTCCTGATCCCACCCTCCCACCCCCTTCTTCACAGATGCCCCTCCCTAAGTCCACTGATAGGGGAGGTCCTCCTCTCCTTCCTTCTGATCTTAGTCTATCAGATCTCATCAGGACTGGCTGTATTGTCATTTTCTATGGCCTGGTAAGGCTGCTCCCCCCTCAGGGGGAGGTGATCAAAGAGCAGGCCAATCAGATTATGTCAGAGGCAGTCCCTCTTCCCATTACTATGGAAGACACTTGGATACTAAACTGCCATGGGCTACATCTGTGCAGGGGTTCTAGGTTATCTCCATGCCTGGTACTTGCTTGGAGTATGAGTCTCTGGGAAGACCCCTGTGTTCAAATTTCTGGTTCTGTTGCTCTCCTTATGGAGTTCCTGTCCTCTCCAGATCTTACTATTTCCCATTTCTTACATAAGATTCCATGCACACTGCCCAACAGTTGGCCCTAAGTCTCAGCATCTGCTTTGATAGTCTACAGGGCAGAGCCTTCCGTGGTGGGTTTCTAGCTTGTTTCCTGTTTTCTTCTTCTTCTGATGTCCTTCCTCTTTGCCTTTCACCTTACACCCGTCAGAATGGCCAAGATGAAAACCTTGAGTGACAACACATGGTGCAGAGGCTGTGGAGAGAGGGGAACCCTCCTCCACTGCTGGTGGGAATGTAAACTTGTACAACCACTCTGGAAATCAATCTGGCTCTTTCTCAGACAACTAGGAATAGCGCTTCCTCAAGATCCAGCCATACCACTCCTAGGCATATATCCAAAAGAGGCTCAAGTACACAATAAGGACATTTCCTCAACGATATTTGTAGCAGCTTTATTTGTAATAGCCAGAAGCTGGAAACAGCCCAGATGCCCCTCAACTGAAGAATGGATGCAGAAATTGTGGTACATCTACACAATGGAATATTCCTCAACAATGAAAAATAAGGAAATCATGAAATTTGCAGGTAAATGGTGGGACCTGGAAAGGATCAACCTGAGTGAGCTGTCCCAGAAGCAAAAAGATATACATGGTATATACTCACTCATATAGACATGTAATATAGGATAAACCTACTAAAATCTTACATCTAAAGAATCTAATCAAGAGAGAGGACCCTGACTAAAATGCTCAATCCCCACTTTATTTTCTTAAAGCCATTGGAGAATTTCATAAAACGATGGCCCTTGAGAGCCCATTCATTTATTCATCCGTGAGTGAATTGCAGCCAGGTAGCCGGGCATCGGCCCCACGCTACTCCCTGCCTCTGAAATAAGAGTTCAGAAATCAAGTGGCCTTTTTTTTTGTATGAGAGAAGTGATTAATGATAAATACCACAGGGCTTCTCACTTCAAATCCTGATATTTTTTCCCTTTGATATTGCCCCAAGGAAGTCCC